TTTTTTTTTTTTGAAACTTTGATAATATAAGAAGTGGCAAATGGATATTTACTATTATATTTTACATGTTTTCTCCGGTGGTCAAATGTCCTAAAAAAATGTATGAATTGCTAGCTATGTATTTTCATATATCATTTAAGGTATATTTTACAAAAGAAAAATAAAGAATTTCAAGAGGTTCAAACAGGACGGAATTTCATAAAAAAAAATCATTTACTATTTAGCTGTTTTTACAAATATAACAAATATATACATGGATTTTTAAAAGTTTCTTCAAAAAAAAAAAAAACACAGCATGTTAATTAGTCTCCTCCCCATCGCCGTAATTCGAACAATCGAATGTGGGATATGTCCTTTCCTCTTACCAAAGGTTACATAAATTTTAACTAGTAGAACTAGCACCTCTTAGTTTTTTTTTCCTATTACAAAAAAAAATGGATTAGTTAGCAAAAATATTCTCAGACACTTAGATCGAAAACAGTTATTAACCGCTAGTCCCCTGGGTTAGTCAAAAAACCCAATGGATTCTTTCCTCTTTTGGTAACTTTTTTCAAAAATATTTTCACCAATCACCTCAACAACCCTTCCTAACTACTTATAAAGAAAAACCACCGGTCCCTGCTACCTCTGAGCCGGCCTCTCCGCCGGAACAGCTCACCGGAGGCCTCTTGCACACCGGAGTAATCACCCCTGAAGTATGGTACACTACTACAGAATAATTTTCAGCTCGGGCTACACTTCAGAAGCCCTCAAAAGCTCCCGTCCCTCTGTTTAAGCAGAGGAGAACCCTACTCTTCCGAAGGCTTCACTAAGCTTTTTGAAGAAACAGTCTCACAGCGTTGTGAAGATACTTACAGAACCCTCTTACAGAAGAAAGGAAAACACCTCCCCACCCCTGAAAATCCTCAGCAACAAACAGCTAAGTAAGCCTCCCTTAACAGCTACGTGAAACTGAGCAATGGCTCGCCGCTTCTCTGCTGCAGAAAAAGTGAAACACATTGCACTGTCAGATGAAT